TCCGTGCGGCTAATATTACGTTATTTGTGGTGCGGCACAGCCAGTAGTTGTGGTGGCTACATATATATTGGGACCTAGAACTCCACACAACTGAAAGAATGACTGTTTTTAATTTTACCCCAAAACGTTAAAGAATAGTCATCACACTCACCGCGCCCGCAATTCCTGTTTATAATTAGGTATACAGTGGGGGTAGGGATTGTCAGTAATGTGCACAAATAACCCCGTTGATAGCAGTGTTCTAAGCCAGGTTAGCCTCCACGCGGTTGAAAACCATCGTGATAAATTTCTGGTGAAATTATTTTAATGATCTAACTGACCTGACCTCATGTTCATCTTATTATCCTCCACTAGTACTCTGTCAGCGTAACGGTTGACACAGGCCGGTGCACTATTTCCATTATCATTCATGAAAAAGAAACTAGGTGCACAGCCCATCTAGTCTCAAACTTTTACTTTTTTTACTCCAAAAGAGCGCGGTAGAGTCGCTCCATGCCACCTAAATTCCAAATAAGTATCCAGTGTGTTGTGGTCGCCGTCTATATTGGATAATGTGGGATAATGATGAAGGTATATAATTGCTAGTAAAGTTAAACGTAACTAATTCAGATGGCGGCGGTAGCGAAGACGTTTATCTAATAAATAGTCTACGTAGCGAAGTCTAATAGATCGGATACCTATACATACAATGCTCTAAGAATTATTTATTTTTGTAAACGAGCCTAATGTAACATAAACTTTTCTGTTAGACATTTAATTTTTTGTTTATATATATGCAAAACTAGATGTTTCAAACTTATCTAGTCAATTCTGTTTGACTATTTGAATCTAACAGACAAGGAATATTGTAATTGCCAAGTAGAAGACATTAATAAAACATTTTTCACATTAATTATTATTAGGAATCACTGGTCCTATTGCTGACAATGTACCATGTCAGGTTGTCTACTACGCTGTCCCTCCTGGTAACCATCATGGTTAAATCCACGACGATTATATGTGCATCCTATCCACTGGCCATCTTATAACGTTAACGCAGGCAGATGCACCATTCCATTATAGAATTATAATTAAAGAATGAAAACATTTATTTATACTCATAAAAAATATAATAATGACATGCTTGGATCGTAAACAACTACATTAGTTTATAAAAAACTGTGTTGCATATTTTTGCTTCCATCTCCGAAACAAGGATACATTTAAACAAAATAATAAGTATATTTTTGTAAAGACACTCACATATTATTTAATTATAGCCTATATAAAAGAAATTGTGACAGAGCGTGAGTCTGCTATTTTCTATAGAATTAATTTAGTTTGTTATTGACCTTTCCATAAATATAAATTGTTACAGAATATATATTTAAAGTTGAATATATTCGACCTCACGACTTTTAGTGTTTAAGTAATAAAGTACTATTAGGTCAGAACACTTTTCTCTCAATATCAAATTCAATTCAATCAACTTTTGTGCCGTTCTTTTAAAACACTGTCAAGGGTAAACTGAATAATACATTTACAATGTCAGTAAGTTCATTTTATTTAGGTTGACTGCCCACCTGATGGCATATGGCAAAGGTCGCAAATATATATGAACAACACTACAGATATCACATTATGTCCTTTGTATTTTGCATATATTGCCATTCAAGAGGACTAATATGTCATGATACATTTGCCCGAGAGGTGCCAACCGTCCTGTTTTCCCAGGACTTCTCCTAGTTTTTGAAGTGTTTTGGGAAGCCCTAAATAATTATTGGGCTGGGTCCGGGATTTTAAAATATGCGCGATTTTAATATTTTTTTACTATAAACCTGATTATATTAATTACTTAAAATTGACTACATATTAATATAACTATTACAACACTATTACTGCGTTCTGTTTTTAAACTGGATAGTCCTTATTTTTTGAACTTTTAGGACTGATTTTTTTTAAATTAGGGATGGCGAACCCTACATTATTCTGCTATTTCACTGCCATATCTCACCCTTCAACCAAAACATAGATAATAACTTTTTTTTCTCCTCTTTTGGCTCCGGCGATTTGTGTTGCCATTAGTCATTTTCTAGTTTTTATTTTTTAGATAAGAACTTGGCGGTAAAAATAATAACTAATTTGTGCACAATTCAAAAATACGAAAAATAGCAAGATGACTACTCTATTGTCTATGGATCGAATTTGCTTTCTTGAGTACATTTACCGGCTGGAAGAAACCAAACAATACTACAGTATACATAGCAGCACTGTTCGTACTATTTACACTAGCGACGGGGCCTTACGTAACTAGATTGAGTACTAACCGTTCAAGTTTCTTGACCTAGCTGTTTTACATTTTTAATCTGTAGCATAAAGGTACGCATATTATTCTGACACAAGTGCCTAGATGTATAAGACAAGCTTCGTCATATGGTTTCGTTCTCGTTATTATAGATATAATGTTTGTGAAGATTCATAAATATGTAATTTTTTACTGCGACCGTGCTGCTGCTTAATATAAGCGACGGTTACAGTTCATCCATTTGAAATAAATGGACAGCTTGGCATACAAGTCAAGTTAGTAAAAAAACTAACATGGAGATAAATTATGTTTAGATTTAAGCCAATGACTAATAGTTTCAAGTTTAAATGAATGAAAAATAACTTTAGTGTTATAACAAATTGGTAAGGGTGTTGGGTTCCATTCTGCTATAGTTAAGTACGCGTTATTTTTTTCAAATATCACATTTCCCTACTTGTTTAAATAACTCACAGTCCTTAAATTTATATATCGAAACACATATTTGTAAAGATTTGTTGCTAAGATTAATTAATTAATTAAGATAAATAAAAAAAAATCTGAGTTTTTTTTTAAATAATTCAACAACGGACGATATTACTTCGACCTCGACATTCTAAACTAATTTAGGCCTGTCACCACCTTGTTTAATATAAACAAATGAACGATGAGTAAGAACCATTGCTCACTAAATCAAACGGTTATCTTTAAAAAGAAGAACAACTTGATTTTTTGTTTGTATACTCATTTGTTAGATACAAAATATTGAACGATTTCAAAAATTGATTAAAATATAGAAATCTCCAAAGTGGCATTTGGGATATAGCAAGTATAGTATAAATCAATAACTCTTTGGAATAATACTGTGTTCAAATAACAATGTGAATATTCTATTAATACAAGAAAAATGTATGTAATTTCATCTTTTTTAATATAAAAGTTACGTTAAAATTTTAAAAATTGTTTTAATTTACGATAAAAACTATTTTTTTAGTTAGCTTTAGTTTATAAGCTTACAGATACTGGCAATTCTAGTTTCTAGCACGTAATTTGTCCTGCATCATACAAATTAATATTTAAAAAGTTTCAATTTACAATGATATCCAGATTTAATCTCATAACGAATTGTCCTATGATGCAATGACAATTCACTGGTAGCCCTAGTTTCTAGGTGCGCGCGTTTCTATCTCGAGTCGCGACATTCTAAGCTAATTTAGGCCACTATCACCCCGTTCAATTTAAACAAATGAACGATAAGCAAGAACAATTGCTAACGAACCCAGGTCAATCAGTTATTTAGGACAAACAATTAATAAATATCTAAATATTATGTGATATTGATATTTTAGTAGCAGAAGAGAAAAACATATTACACCTACCCCAAATGAAGGGATTTGGGGTAGGTGTAATATGTTGTTAATCTTCTTCTTTATCCTCGCCTCTTCCCGTTACTCGGGGTCGGCTTTTCTAATCCTGGGGCGCCATACATTTCGCTGGTAAGCATCGTCATTTGACAGGCCCAACTCCTTCATGTCCCTATGGACATTTGTCAACCAGGTAGTTGGTGGCCTGCCTCGTCCCCTTTTTGATGTAGTCATGGAAAGGCACTTTCTCACAATGTGGTTTTCAGGTTTACGCAGAATATGTCCATACCACCTAAGTCTGTAAAATAAAAAGCAGATGATGATCATGTGCGACTCACAGCGAATGACTGAGCGAGGTTGCTTTATGGAAAGTCGTCTGAGTTCGTACCTCAGTCTCCAAGTCTTATTTGTTACTATTTTAGCCGCCAAGCAGCTTGTTTTGCAGCTGTATGTTGGTTGAAAAGTAAGGCAGTGAAATTACAGGATATGGTTATGCGTTACATCTTAGTCCTCTGAAATAGCAATGCATGAATGGTATCACAGATGTCACATGATACCGTGATGTCTGCAGTGCTGTTCATGTATATAGGCCACGGTTGAATGTTGCAATTTCATTTAAGTAGATAAAAAATTATGATTATTTAATGTATAAATATTACTTTATTTTTACGCTCAGGTATAGAGTAAGGAGAATCACTAGACCTTTATTTTTATACTAATTCTTTTCTTTTATTACTTTATCTCACGCATAGCTGTTTTCTTGACTAGACTTCTAGAGAGAAGTCCAGTGATTATATATAAGAATTCCCTGTAAGAGCACAGAGAATTCAATTTATATAATCATGATATATTACTGTATCGACCAGAAAATTGTTTCGGGATAGTGAATCAGTGGGCGCTGCAGACAGGAAATAAATTTGTGACCCACTTTGAATACATATAACAATAAACTATTGTATTGACGCTTCAATATTCAGAAATTAATAGATACGCATCAAACAGGCCTTGGCATAATTATATTCTTATTATATACGCTGTCTCTGAATGTCATGTATTTCGGCAGTGTAAAGTGACTAAAGTTTACTATAAACGAAAAAACACAGAGATGTAGTAAGCCACTTTTTTATTTTGATTTGTTACTCTAAGCTCATCCTCTCTTAGAGTAACAGTCATATGATATGTGTAAACCACGAAATTCAGTGTATACAGGACATGTTGAATTTAGTTAAAAATGTATAGCAACCCTAATTTTGTTTATTATTCATATCAGATAACTAACATTATCTGTTGTATACAAATAATAAAAGTTCATATACCTCTTTTCTTTACACTAATAATTATTTTTTTATCCATAGATTATACCAAAGAAATCATGTTTGCTGAACGAACCTCGCCTACAATAGACACAGATGAATCTATGTCGTCAACATCATCGACAAGAGGTGCTGACGAACGTCAGAGCGCGTCTGATTCACTAAACAGCTTGATCGAAGGAAAGATTGAAGAGCCCTGTTTAGAAGTCAAATGCTCCCTGGCTGACCATTGCCCTGTGACTTGTGAAGATAATCCGAAATCTTTGAAAGGAAATAGGAAATCTATTTGTTGCAGTAAGTGCTTTTTGTTATTACCGACCTTGTCAAACTTGTCTGCGTTGGTGCTACTATCTATATAATGTGCTACTATCTATATAAAGTGCTAATATATATATTGTAAGCGTCAAGGAGCTTATTTTATAAGTTATATTTCGGTTCCAAGGTGAGATATGACAGGTAAATTACAGGATTGCAGACGGCATGATATCTGAATCCTAAACTCCTGATAAAAATACCTGACATCATAGTATGATACTCGTGGTGCTGTTTATGTATAAAGGAGATGATTGCCACTTTTGGTGAGAAGCCAGCTTGATTGTCACTTCTCTTTATAATAATAATTATTCGACAATTAATTAAACACTATGATGAGAACACGCTCTTATTTGCGTTTTGTATCGCAAAATGAAAAATTCCAATGGGACTGATATGCAATACCAGTTATTTGTTAGTATCAGTGCCTCCTCATATATTACTTTCTTTTAAGTAATGCGTAGTTTCATGCAGTTTTCTTTATAAAATACGTAATATACTAGCTACCATACACATATAAACCTTCATCTTGAATCACTCTATATCTTGTTATAAACTGTAATAAAATACGTTGCGTAGTTCAAACCATCTAAGTGAATCGATCATTTTATACTATGTAAAGATTAGGGGTAAGTCGCAGAATGAAATACGTGCATGTAAAAAAAATCGCGCGTAAAATTTGCAATTTCTTATTTGCTGTATTGCAAGCGAGTTTTTTTGTTTAAAACAACTCTATTGATGACCATATAAGTTTTACGGATAAGAATTTAAGCTCCTCGAGAATAGTCAGTGTTGCATTGTGTATAAGAGTTTAAATATTTTTTATCTGTTGTTCAACAAAGGAATCTACCTAGATCAGTCAATAATAACAGCCAGCTGACAATGTATGACCTAGCCAACCCTACAATAGGTAATGCGTACGCTGCATGCATACAAAATCATTACGTAGCATCTGACTAGATTGATAGTCTAATTTGCATCTTATTCTACAATGAACGCTTAGCAACATTTTTGGTGGGAATTAAAAACATATATAAAAACAATCTGTGGTTCAGTAACCGACTACCGTTGCTAACCATCTCGTATTTCATAGAACGCCCATTATTTCTTACATAATTTTCAATGTTAAGGCAAGACAGGTCAAGTCCCGTTATAATTTATAATCTGTGGTTCGGTAACCGATTACATTGCTAACCAACTCCTATTTCGTAGAACATCCAATAATTCTTACATAATTTTCAATGTCAGGGCAGTGATGGCAAACATGACAGGGCTAGTCCCGTATTTATTGAAAACCTATGAGAAACGATGCGAAAAACGCTAAGGCTTTGGAAAGTGCTAATAAATAGCACCAAATTTAATTCAAAATAAAACGGATTATAACAAAAATTCAGTAAAGTTTATTCGATCCCTCGTGATATACAGAAATATCGTATTATTTAAGATTTTAGATACCTAGTCCTTTAGGTCCAGAAAAAAAATGGCTACTTTATACCACACATGACACGTCATAAACTGACGATGGAGTACGTCATTGTTTATATACTAGTCATTTACTAATGTTTCCTTATTGGGGGAAACAATGTTTTATGGTTCCTTTCGTATTGCTGAGGACATTTTAAATTGCCTATTTACATATTTAAGTAGTCTCAATAAACATTAAAGGTGGTAAATGAGCAACTAACACGCCTGCAACAATAGTGCACTTTGACGACTCTGAGAGATATCAAAAACAAGTCATGAATTACAAATCTTTACTAATATTATAAATTAAAAATAAAAGTAACTGTCTTTCTGTCTGTCAGTCCGTCGCGGTTTCACGACAAAACTACAGAATCGTTTTAAAAAATTAAATTTGGTATACAGATAATCTAAATCATGACAATAGACATTACTTTTTAATGCGAAAAAAGGGAGATGAAATGTTGTATGAAAGTATCGTCATATTTGATTTGAGATTATTTGAAAATGATATTTTGAAAAAACTAAAATGATATATTTCAGTAATCCGCCCTTTTAAACAAAAACATCATCACCTGCCTATATGTGTGTCAATTTGAGGACCATATGACCTAACGGGTTCACCTCTATCATTCAGCCAACTAGTGTCAACCACCGAACTGACTTATCACATCTTGTTGCTGACAAAATATCTAGACAATGACGTCACAAACTAACGATATCAAACGTGACCGCGTTTTTACACGAAATTACAATATTATAAACCTAGGCTAAATGTATCATAAATTACGTCACATGTTAAGGGATGGGGAGGGGGTCAACAAAGTGTGACTTTGAGTGACAAGAGTGTGTGAGGTTTTAAATTTCGTGACGACACAAATTTTAACTTAGATCGAATATATATAACTATTAAAATAAGAAATTTCATCTGTTAACAAAAAACTTTAAAAAAATCATTATAAGGATGTGGGGAGGGTAATAATGAAATTCGTATGACGTAATAAATGGAATGCCCTCTACCAAAATAAGCAATGAAGTTCAGGATATGATAATTATAATTGACATAAGTGGCACACTCCCATTAGACAACAAATCTGAATTGAAAAAAGATATAAATAAAACTGGAAAGTACGAACCGGACTCATACACCGAGGCCTCCGGACAAATAGTATAAACAGATTTTATTTGAATGCTACACCAGGCACTACACTTAGAAACAGGTACTAGATGTGATTGATACCTTTTTTTTTCTTTGTTTAGACTAATAGTGACAGTAACACTACAACAGCAAGGGCAAAATTGATTGTGGAATTTTTTAAGACTGATTTTGAAAATTAAATATTTTTGTCAATTTGTAATATTTACACATAAGTTTATCGAATGCAATTATTTAAGGTTTTTCAAATCACAAACTTTGGAAATAAAAAGAGAATAATTTTTTCATGCCTACTTTTTTTCGGACTACTCTAATGTTGTTGACCGCAGCTGGCAATTACAACTTCACTGGACGATAGTACAGCTGGCAGGCTAAACCCGCGGAAGGACTTGTAGAGTGGCTGAAGGTCAACTCCCGCCCAACGAATGCGATTTTAGTCTGAGAGCACCGCTAGGGGTTCCAACCTCGACTCAGGTAGTCGTAATTTCCCCCATTTGAATGGGGGTGAATCCATCGGAGGAGTCATGCCAACTTTACGTCAAGAGTAGAAATCTACGCTTTGTATTTCATGCTTCTATTTAGCATTCCTAGTGCTAAGAAAGTAAACCAAATAACTCAAACTAGCACAGTTTAAAACTATGTTGAAGTATAAATTTGTAATACATATAAGAAATTGATAAGTTGAAGGTTTAATTTGTAACAGATGAATAAAATTAAAATAAAGGGTCCGTTATATGTTTTCGAAACCCTAAATATATAAAACCCGTTATTTGCTATTAATATTGCGTTAGTGCAATTAAAGAAAAAAACTAGGAAATATTATTTGAAAAAAATATCGACAAAAACGTGCAAAACAACTTCGTTACGAAAATAAAACTAAATAACGGGTTTTGCTTGCATTAATTAACATATTTTAACTGTTATTATTAGAGTATGACATAACAATAATTATATTTACTCGTACCTATATATTACAATCAACGCGTAGTATTACAATAATGACTAACCTTATTAAAAAGAATACTATTTTGAAATACGAACAAAATATTGGAAACATTTTACAAAACGGGCATATTTTTAGTAAATAAAAATATATTTGTAATACGAATTAGTAATAATTTAATTTTAAACGTAAAAAAGCTATAAATATATATAATATATAGATTATAAAGATAATTTCACGAAATTTTTTATCAAAAAAATACATTAATTAATTTAGCTGTGAACGCGGTTTCACCCGCATGAAATTTATACCCTATATGTTATCCTGATATGATGCTATTACAGTAAAATTTCAGAAAATCCGTGCAGTAGTTTTTTCGTGTAAGAGTAACATCATCCATCCATACTCACACACTCGCGTTTATAATATTAATTATAACATTAATAAAAAGAGCGATTCGAATACCGCTCTAGGAATAATGTAGAATATATTTTAGTTAGCATTTAATTTTAACTCTACCTATGGACTAAAACTTGATTAATGCGAGAGAAAAAGAAGAAGAGACCATATAATAATTTGCAGGTAGATTTAAAAGACATTAGCGTCGTTTCTATATATAAAAAGAAATTAATGTTATGGTTTCTTAATTAAAAATAATACAGTTTAGACCAATATTTTTTTTAATTTGTTCAAACACTATTATACTTAAGTATCTTTACATAGTATAAAATGAAGTCGCTTCCGCTGTCTGTTCGCTTAGATCTTTTAAACTATGCAGTTTTTAGCAATAGATAAAGTGATTAAAGAGGAATGTTTATATGTATTATACATGTACACCCATGCGAAGCCAGGACAGCTAGTTATGAACAAATATGTGTAACTATGACTATTTGTAAAATAAAATGTTTAAAAAAGGCAAAGTATAGAATCTTCTACGAATATAGGTTGAGGTCATCATGCTCCTTGGACACATTCAAAAAACCTGTTATTAAATAACATAAGAATATTTATTACAGCGGCATATTCTTTACGGAAGGTCGCTTAAATTAAATATGTATGTATTTTAACGTGGACACACATTAATGTAGTAATATATTAAAACATGATAATGTTTCAATATATTGATTTGGATATGGCATATTGACTTAATTGTTTGTAATTGCCTATATCACGAAAAAAATGCAGTATTTTCTACAGATTATATAGAAGGGATATTTACCATAATAATATTTATGAGTTTCCGATATTTCGATTTTGTTACCGTATGATGAACAATTTGATGACAGATTACCGGTTCCTTTTGTATAATGTGCAGGTACAATTAAAAACGAATAATGAAAACTGTTGAAATTTCAATATGTTATTTTCATTGTACTCCCAAAATTAAAAAAACGAGGTTCTCGATTTGTTGGTATCTAGTCA